AACAGCCAATTCCAAGTCTGAGCAGGAAATAAACAAGATGAACCTGAGGCATCTTGTCACGTTAGGACACAAGTAAGCCATGAAAGAGGACTAGTCATGTCAAAAGAAATAGGAGCCAATGACTAATGACAGGACAATTTGAGCACCAAAATAACAACAGAAAGAATAATGGTTGCAAATACACTAAAATGCATAAACTATATTTTTTAATTCATGATTTCATAATATACCCCTAACAACTTACAAGGCAAATTCATTGTTCTGTAAATTGACAAAGAGAAAGAATCAAGCAGTTACCCTGCCTTCCTGTACTAACATACTATAACTATAGTATAACTGTAACTAAACTATACTATACCTATACTAACTATACTATACTGTAACTATACTAACTATGCTTCATAGAGTTCATGGAAAATAGAATTGAAAGATAATATGGATCTTTTCATGAACTTTTTGAAGTACACTCATATTCCATGGTAACTAAATAGTTGATAAAGAGAAAATTCTTCTTTGCAGACAGAAGAATCCTAGCTAACAGATTTAGAAGGAAAGACAGAATGAGGAATTCACCATTTGTGATCTCTAATAAAATAATGTGGTATTTCTCTTTCTATGCCTGGCTTATTTCACTTAACATAACTTTCTCCCAGCACATCCGTGTTGCTCTGAATGGCAGAATTTAATTCTTTTTTATGACTGAGTAGTATTCCATTGCATATATATACCACAATTTCTTTATCCAGTCATCCATCAATGGACATTTGGTTGGTTCCATATCTTGGCTATTGTAAATACAGCTGTGATAAACATAACAGTACAGGTATCCCTTCAACATGATGATTTCCATTCCTTTGGGTATATACCCAGCAGTGGGATTGCCGAATTATATGGTAGTTCTATCTGTAATTGTTTGAGAAACCTCCATACTGTTTTCCATAATGACTGCACTAATTTACAGTCCCACCAACAGTGTAGGAGAGTTCCCCTTTCTCTGTATCCTCACCAGCATTCCTTATTCTCTGTCTTTTTGATAATAGACAGTCTAACTACAGTGAGATGACATCTCAATGTGGTTTTGATTTGCATTTCTCTGGTGATTAGTAATGCTGAGCATTTTTTCATGTATCTGTTGGCCATTTGTATGTCTTCCTTTGGGAAATGTCTATTCAGCTCCTTTGTGGGGAGGAAGGGAGGGAGGGAAGGGAGGAAGGAAGGAAAGAAACAATCACAATAATACACTGAACTCTCAGAAGGAGAAAACAGAACTATGGTAATGAGAAGTGATAAGGGGGAGGGGGTTTAAGGAGAAATTGGTTAATGGACACAAAGAATATATTTTGCAATGCTGAATATGCTAAATATCCTGATTTGATCATCACATATTGTACACAAATACTGTACAGAACTCTGCACCCCACAAATATGTATAATCAATTAGCATACAAAAAAGTTCAAAAGGACAAAAAATAAAATAAAATAAAATAATGGATTATAGGTGCCCAACATTTAGTAAACCATTTGGTAAACATTCATGGAGAAATTTATAACAGAAGGAGTAAGCTGAAAAATCCCTGAATCTACTGATCAATCTTAATATTTGCAGAAGCAGATATTACATCTTTCTGATAAAATGCAATAGGACATACATGATATTACCTGCATAGTATCTCTGCCAAAAAAAGAAAAATCTAAATCTAATCAAGCCTCTAGATATAACCACCAGTAGACAGGAAATACAGGAGACAGAGAAACATGTTAATACTAGAGCAATCATCCAACATGCAGAAAACTTTAGAGACAAATAACAGATCCAATTTCTTCAACAAATAAAAGGTATGAAAAAAGGGATAGGCTGTCATAGATCATAGAAGACAACCAAAAGTGAAAACACAAATAGGTTTATAAAGTAAAATGATGGAAAAAGTCATTCCATGCTAACATTAGTGAGCTGGAGTGCTTATTTTTAATACAAGATAAAATAAGATTTTGGAGAAAAGAATATCACCAGAAATAAAAATGGTCATTTCACAATAATAAAAAGTCAGCTCGTCAAGAGGATATAATAGTCTCCAATGTTTATAAATATAGTAACAGAACTTCAAAATATGACAGCAAAGACTGATAGAACAACCAGGAGAAAAACACAAATCTACAAGCATAATTGGAGATTTCTCTCAGTAACTAATAAAACAGGTAGGCAGAAAATCAACATTCTCAACTTAATTTACCAGACTAACATTTTAGAACACTCAACAATAGCAGAATACATATTCTTCTCAAATACACAGGGAAAATATACCAAGCTAGAACATATTCTGGGACATAAAACAAATCTCAGTAAATTTTAAAAACAAAATACAAAGCACCACAATAAAATTAAATTAGAAATCAGTAACAGAAAGATGTCCAGAAAATCCCCTAATATTTAGAAACTAGGTGACACACTCCTATCTAACCCATAGATCAAAGAAGAAATCAAAGGAAAATTAGAGAGTATTTTAAAGTGAATGAAAACAAAAATAAACATTACAGTTTATGGAATGCCATAAAAGCAGTACTTAGGTGAAAGTTTATAGCACTAAATGTCTCTCTATTATAAAAGGATTGTTCTGAAATAAATGACTTGAGCTCTCTCCCTCAAAAAACAACTTGAAAAAGAAGAGCGTATTACAAAGTAGGCAGGAAAGAAAATGGAAAGAATAAAAATCAACATGCAAATCAATGAAATACAAAACAGAAAAACAGAAAACTTAATAAAACCAAAATCTGGTCCTCTGAGAAGATCAATAAAATTGATTAACTTCTAGCCTCACTGATCAGGAAAAAAAAAAGAAAGAAGACCCAAATTACTAATATCAGGAACCAGTTAGCATCACTACAGATTCTACAGATATTAAAAAGAAACTATTATGAACAACTTTATGCAAATAAATGTGGCAACTTAGATAAAACAGAAAAATTCCTTCTGAGGCACAAAATACCAAAGTTCGCTCAAGAAGAAATAGATAATCTAAATAGATCCATATCTATTAAAGAAATTAAAACTGTAGTTTAAAAACTTTCCCGAACAGAAATCTCCAGGCCTTCGTGGCTTTACAGGTGAATTCTACCAAACAATTAAGGAAGTAATACTTCCAATTCTACGCAAAATCCTCAAAAAAATTCAAGAGGAAGGAATACTTTCCAACTCATTCTATGAGATCAGCAGTGGCCTAGACCACATAAAGACATTACAAACCAACTAGAAGATATAATGGAAAAGAAGTAAAGATTAAATACTTACTAAAAACTTTAACAAGAAATGTGCAAAACTAATACGAAGAAAATTCTAAAACACTCCTAAATGACATAAAAGTTTTTTTTTTTTCCTTTTTGTCTTTTTTCGTGTCCGGCAACGGATCGCAACCCTCAGTGTCGCACCCGTACCGGACCGGGACCGGCAACGGGATCGCAACCCTCGGTGTCGCACCCGCACCTCACTCAGCCAGTGAGCGGGAACCGGTCTGTATCCACATACAGATCCGAACCCTCGGCGGGAGCGCCACCGCACTCCCAAGCGGCACACTGTAGCAGTGCGCCACCGGGCCAGCCCAACGTAAAAGTATTTTTGAACAAACTGAAAGACATTACACATTTTCGGATAGAACAATTCAACAACAAAGATGTTAATCCTCTCGGATTAATATCTACATTTGACACAATTCCAATAAAAATGCCAATAAACACAGAAAAACCTAGAAATCTTCCTGAGCCAAAAAGCAAAGACAACTCAAAGACTAGTGAAGGTGTATCTAAAGGGCACAAAAGCCAGCTTGGAGTAGATCCCACTGATGAAATTAGGGACAATTTTAGCTTCAAAAAGAATGTCTGCAATTGATTATAAATTATTTAATAAAAATCCAAGAGTCTTAAGTGATACCAAACAAGAAAGAGAGGAAAGAGAAAGAGAAAGCTCAAAATTACTTCCATCATAGGAGGTGACTATTACATCAATTTCTTAATCTGAAAATCAGTGTTTAAAAGCGAAAGAATTAAGCATTTAACCTGCCTTTACAGGAGTTTATCTAAATGATATGAGAAAAGTTCTTTACAAAAGCTCAGCTAATATGTCTAGAAATAATGACATAATTAGAAAATCAACATTTTCTAAATTCCAACCAAAAAAACTGATTTAGGCAAGGATCATTGATGAATGTCAAGTACATTAGGTGAAGACTTGAGGAACTAGATATTGGAAAAGAAAACCTCTACAATGAAGATATCTATTGGTCATCATCTTAACCAAATGATGAAACCTGGCATTACTAATAATGGGACAATCTGACATTGTGTCCCTTTTAACATGATGCAAAGTGAAGTACATAATTTCCCCCATAAAATATCCTTGCCAAAAATGTTAAACTTGAGTCTATGCAAGTCTTTACATCAAACTCCAAGTTTACAGGATACAAAGGAACAATACCGAGAGGAAAAAATCAGACAGATCAAAATAGGGGGCATTCTACATTACTTCTTTTCTGACACTTGGCTTAAGTCCCCTCCTCTCCTCTGCCTTAGCTTTGGTAAGTGTGACCCACATTGACACACTGCATACAGGATAAAGGTGGGCTTCTCTTTATTCTCATCCCGGACGGGTTCTACACTGGCCCTGCTGGCAAATTTACCAAATTCCTTTGAGAAAGTAGGGAAGAAGTTTCGGGGAAGAGGGAAGTGGAAAAATATGGAACATCAGGGGAAAAGATGAGTAGAAACTACATCCAGAAGGTAGAGTAGAAAATGACGGTAGTGAAAGAAGCAGAGCCAGAAACTAGAGATTCCACCCAGCCGAGGTATTATTCCACAAGTCGTAGAATGACATAGGGGTGTGGGAGGAAAGATGTGCCAATAAATTATCAAGTGACCAATTAGGGGGACAATTGTTGACAGACATAAAAATTGGTTCCCTATTCTCTACAACCTTTGATCTCAAAATGAAACAAAAATTCAATTAATTTCACCTTTTTTGGTGAAGAGATCACGAAATGTACCACATAGGTAGAAAACTCCACCACCGTGCATATCGACATGGAGTTGGTAGCCATGCAGTCCGTGCTCTGGGCTGTCATCCAAAAAGGGGCTACGAGGAGGCAGCTCATAGGGACTGAAAAGGAAGGCAAAACGTACACACAAACTTGTCAATACAAGAAGAAATATCTGGATTGAAAAATACTTAAAAAAAAATTAACATCCATGCAAAGCACTACTTCCTACCAATGAGACTCTATAGGATTCCCAATAATTTTCAATACTATGAACTCAAAAGAATTGCTTCATGTTTCTTTTACTAACTTCTATAAAAACAGGCAATGACATGAGTTTCATAGGCAGCCACAAGACCACCATGAGCAAATGTGTTTTTGAGATCTACCCCAAGACAGCAGTTCTACAAAGGCAGCTCTGCCCCTCAGCATTCTTCTCAGTATCCAGAAGACAGAAGTGCTCATCAGGAAAATGCACCCAACAATAAATCTGTAGATTAGGAACCGGGGCAGAAAACCCAAAACCAAGATGAACAAAGCTTTACTCAATAAGGAAAAACCTTACTATGTAAGGTGACAAACTCAAAACCATCCAAGAAATTTTCAGGTAATAAAAAAATGAACACAGGAGACTCTGAGTCCACAGCAGAAGGGTGAGAGCTATAGTGAAATGGGAAGCACGTTCCCCACCTAAAGACATTCAAATTTGTCAAAAGACACCTCCTGTACAAACCAAACAAAACACATCTGCAGGCCAGATTCAGCCAGAAAGACCTGAATCTGCATGCCTTGCAAGATATGAAAATTCACACAAGTGCAAGAACTGGAGGGAGCGCTGGCACTTGTAGCAAGGAAGTTATCTTGCCCCTATAAATAACAGTCTACTAGGTATAAATTCCTTAGCCCAGAATAAAGCAAATATGTACTCATGAATAATCCAATTATTTTAGCAACAGCTAAGTAATTATGCCTGTTGGCCTGTGTTTACTGATTAAAATCAGAATATCTTTGTAGTTATTCTCAGGATATTAAGATGGTATCAACTTCTAATTCTTTATATTGACTGTACAAAAATTTAATACACCCACATATAAATACGTACATAGAAGCAGAGCCTAATGTGCTCCTCTCCACAAGGTGATGGAAATGAAGACTTGCCATAACAAAAGCCAGTTCTTCCTCCTTCTGAAAAGTTAATTAGAAAGAATACATTTTTCAACTGAAATATTTTAATTTTTCACAAGGTCATTGTGAAGATCCCAGCACATTCATTTTGTAGACAGATGCAGTTTCTTACAACTGTAAGATCACCACAGTGCTAATGCATTATTACTGCTAATATATTATTATTATTATCTAGTAAGACTTATAGTCATACTGACAGCAGGATCACAATTCACCCACATATGTAGAGCATGCAATACTAAAAGAATTAACATCCTAGTACTTGTGAAATATCAAAATACTATATTATATATAATGATTGAGGAAATTCATATTGTTAGTCCAAGCCTGCTTCAAACTCTTTTCAAAGATAAAGACAATACCAGTAAGACCTTCACAGATAGTAGGTTAATTCCACAAACCCTGAATATTACTGCACAGTGTTCCTCTCTCAAGTTACTGCTCGGTTTGGCAAACACAGTGGGAAGGATTAGATTCAACTTCTTCACTTGTTCATCAGGTTGAATAGCAGAAAATGTGACTGTTCAGGAACTGATACCCATTTCTCCCCAGATTCATAGCTGACACTGATTGGAGTAGGTAAACCCGAGTGGTAAATCTGAAGGGGCCGTTCTCCAATAGTCAGGAGCTGAAGATCTTGATTCTGTCTAATCACTGTATACAGAAGCACACTGCTATCCTCAGAATCAAATTTGTGAACTACTATCTTAAAACACCCCTAGCCAAAGCGATAGACCTTAACCTGTGGTGTGCAGAGGTACATCACACTGTTCTGCTTTTCAATGAAGTGACTGCCCAGAAAACAACCCCCAGAGGAAGGAGCTAGCAATCATCCTGGCCTGGTGAAACAAGAAACCTAGGCAGAAGGAAAGGAGAGCCTCTTAGACACTTTTCCCTTGAAGGCAGATTATACTCAATGCCACATCTATAGGACCAGAAATATGCTTGGAAGACCACCGTGTCGAATGTACAATTTCTCTGTCTTTGGCAGAGAAATGACATGAAAGAAACTGGAGGAGGAATATGGGTTGATTGGAAGCGGAAAAGGAGAAAGTCCCACAACATTAAAGGAATAACATAAATTGAAACAAGACAGGAAGAGGTGGCTTGTCATCTGTGATAGCAAAACTGCATAGCAACCTCAGTGGAAAAGAGGGCCATGTATAGCTAGAAAAATAAAGTTAGCAAGATGGTAAAATGGAATGCAGTTACTAAAAATTCTTAAAAGATTTTACATTTGATTTCATTCATGATGATGAGCGAATGTGGGTTGTGATGGGGAAATGACACAGTTCATTCAGGGAATCTTACCTTCCACAGCCCCACGAGAAGGCCAGGATTTAGGCAGAAGATCCGAATGAGTCTGTCGCAGCCAATCAGGGTGGATTCACTTAAACAACTAAGATTGTACTTTGTAATTAAAGAATACCACCGAGGTCTTTGAACATTCATGCAGAAGAAAGGAGAGAGACAGATGAGCTTTCCTATCTGCAGTGTTATCAATTCTCTTCAGTGTATCTAAAAATGCTTTTAAAGAGCATATTAATAATGTGCTCGAACTAAATGGTACATTGATGGGATGGGGATACAAATGACTTGTATAAATAAAAGGCAAAATGGATACATTCAAATTTCTCACCCTTCTATGTGTCCAAAGCTGGAAACTACTCATGAATCTGGCTGTGGAGGACTTTAAATAGACTCTGGGAACACAATGAGTCCTCATCTGCCTTGGCCTTACAGGCCACTGACACAGAAACTGAGGCTGACATTAACGGTACTCACAAATTTGGGGATAGCATAAACTGCAGAATGGATAACACTGGCAAAGGAGAAAATTTACAGTCTAACTAGAAAGGTATAAATTACAAGGAAATTCAAATAGCCAATTACATCAATAAGGTTTTCACTCTTCTTGAAAAAATTCTCATAGAGAGAACAGAAAAGACCCAAATAAAAATCACAAAGTCTCTCCTCGGCTGTCACACAGATGGATATGAGGATTTGTATTCCTGCATGATGAAAGCATTTGCTTACAAACTTACAATGTAAACTGCCCATCAAAAAAGATTCCTGAAAAGCAATTTTAGTGTTATTTACCATAGTTTATCAAAGGCTGGCTGAAGACCATTGAGTTTTAACAAACATAAATTACATTAATTTTACCAATGACTTTTACCATTTGTCACCATGTAGTATCTGGTATTCCTGACCTGGATGATGGTTTTCAGGAATATATCATCTTCAACTGAGCTTTACAATTCAACAGTATCCATTTAAGTTAGTCTTTTATGATCATTTTAATTAATGTGAACAATTTTGTCCTAATACCTGTAAACAACAATTCATGATATGCCAAGTAACACATTGTTCAGTCAAACTAGTACAGGGTTTGTGGACTCATTCTCCAATCATAACTTTATAGTACATACAACCAAATACTATATTAAAAAACTCTGGTGTCCACCATGATACCACATGAAATTTCAGAGATTTATTCAAATAAAAGTAACATTTAAAAAGGTAACTGTGTTTCCAAAATATCTTCAGTAAAATAATTAGGAAAAACAATTCACATTTTTTTCAGCATAGCATTAAGGATATTTTTAGAATACAATAAAACCTGGATTTACCACAGCACTAAGACGTCCAAATATCCCCACATTCACAGTATGGGGAGAGAGTTCAGTGATCACTAAAACAACCCTCAAACAGCTGGCAGCATTGAGAGAAGCCAAAAACAAGGTCCCCACGTTTTTTACAAAAAACGTGTTCGTATCCAGAGAAACTATGAAAGAATGGTGTCCCTCTGTGGAGACAGCATGCATTAATGTCAGATATCTCAACACTTTCCACAGCAACGACAGATATGAGAGAAACCAGCAAGTAGAATTGCAGCAAGCAAGGATGGTAAGAAAAATGATGTGGTAAATACTATCAGAAAGTTAAAGGACACTGAGACAGTGAAGGAGATGGGACAGAGGGCGGGAAACCAACACCAGAGACAGCAGATGTTACCTTTGCATTTGCAACAAATTTTATATAAAGATATGTTAGCTTGCTCAGAAGATGAGAATTCTACACATGCCACAGTCCAGCTTTTAGGAGAAAACAAATGATGATAAGAAAACTGATCATGAAAGACTCACTGGGAAAGGCAGATGAGAGCCTTACAATGAGTATGGACTCAGTGTACAGCCACCTTACAACAGAATAAAGCCAAGTGCTCGATAGGCATTAGCAATGTGATCTGATCTATGCATTTTACAGTGACATATTTTAATCTTCACAGTTGCCATGCATGCCAAATACTACACTGGCATCATCACCATCCCATTACACAGATGAGACAATGAAAGCACAGAAAGTGTAAGTTACCTGCACAAGTCATATATCTAGTATGTTCAACAGAAGAGCACACAAAATAACTAATAATTATGACTTTACAACCTGATATCTAAACTATGATTAGTGTACTAAAGAAGGAAAATATGGTAGTTATATATAACTTTCTGTTAAAATGGTTAAAACTATGTATAAACAATTATGTTTCAATAAAAAATAAATAAATAATAAAATGGTTAAAACTAAAAACTTCAAAAGAGTAGCCATCTGTCATCTATGAAATTTTGTTAACTAGGATATTATTCCCTATCACTATAACATAGTCAAGATGTGGGGAACCTAAATTTAGACTTAATCATAAATGTGATAAATCCATTCTTTCCCTATTCTGTAGTGATGCAGAATGATAGATAGAAAAGTCTTCATGATGCAATCAAATTAAAATACACTGCTGATATTTTGAATTACAAAAATAATACCAACTAATATTTACACACAAGGTGTTCTTACCCAACAGTTCTGCTGAATTAGTACTTACCCATTTTTGGTGAGGGTTTTATAACGATGCATAAAAACTGGCGTCACACCACACAAATCTAAGGTTGACAATGTGGCTAAACATGGCCAATTTTTGCCATACCACACAACAGTAACTGACGTATCATTTACAGAAAGATCAACATGCTCCATAAAATATTCTTTTCCACTTTTTTCTTTCAGTATAATTGCCCAACCTAAACCAGATATTCTGGAAAAAGAAAAGAAAGCTAAAAATGTTTGCCTCATTGCAAGAAAAAAAGGCTAAAGGTAATTTTACATATCATCTCCAAAGCATCTACTTCCTTAAGTCAAAATTCTCAGAACATGATCAATGTAATTTTCATTTCACCAACAATTGTCTCTTTAGACTTTTTCTCCTTACCTAACAAACACTCATTGAACATCTATAATGTTCTAGGTACTGACAACACACAGATAAGTAAGACAAAGGTTCTATTCAGGAGGGACATCTTGAACACTCTTGCTTTACCACAGCAGATCACTAGGTTATTTCTGCTTTTCATGAAAGCTTCAAGCCATATACGTGGAATAGGAAAATACTATATATTTTATAGAAGCACAAAAATACACAAAAATATCAGTGATAGTCTGCCACAATCTAAATTGCACATACGTCCTATGTACACAATAGTTTGAGCTAATTCCATCATTCTTTTTTAAAGTGGTTATAAACTGAAACATTTAACAGTTAAGTAACCGCTATGGGCACTGTTCAAGAACACACCGCATGGCATACCTGAGGGCCTCTTTAGTTTTAACTGGAAGGCCTGTGTCAGGGTTGACAGGTTTGAGAACCTGAGCTAGTGCTGATTTTACAAATGCTAATTGTTTTTTAATATATTCTTTCTTCCAATATCCAGCTTCTTTATCCTCAACTGAGAGTAAGTTCATAGACACAGCTGTCTCCTCTACTGAATTAACTTTCCAATTACGTCTTTTAGGTAAAAAAGCAGTTGAGTAGATTCTGATCCAAATAAAACTGGAGGAAAAAGAAGGAATATGTTAACTAGGAAACATCATCATGCACCTGTTGTAGCAATATATTAAATTAGAGATGTGTGGGCTGGCCCGGTGGTGCACTGGATAAGTGCGCCGCTTGGGAAGCACGGCGGCGCTCCCGCCCGAGGGTTCGGATCCCACGTACAGACCGGTTCCCGCTCACTGGCTGAGCGAGGCGCGGGAGCAGCACCGAGGGTTGCAATCCCGTTGCCGGTCCCCGGTCCGGTCTGGGGGCAACACTGAGGGTTGCGATCCGTTGCCGGACACGGAAAAAGATAAAAGACAAAAAAAAAAAAAAAAAAAGAGAGATGTGTGATAACTTTTAAGATAGTCCAATTCCATGAATAAGTCAAGCTGAACGTTTATAGTTCTTCATGTGTAAAAGTGAATTGCAGTTTGAGAAGTGTTTTAGATTCACCAACCCCAAAGGCTCACTTAAAAAAAAAAAGGAAAAGCCTATTTTCCAGGGCTCAAGTTTAAAGAGGGCAATCTCATATTATTTGGAATCATATAGGTCCATTATTTTAAAAAAAACAACAAAAAAACATTGCGATTCTTGTCTTGTTTTTTAAAAAATATACATATGCTTTTAAAAAGATACATACACACAAAGAAAGATCAACAATGAATTATACATTCTCTTTGCTTTATATTCTTAATTTTTCAACAATGAACATGATTGCTTTCAGAAAGAGAAAAAAAGTGAAGGTTATCATTATTCTTTCAGAAGGAGAGAAGAAATCTAGGGTAATTAGAGGGGGGAGAGGGAGGGTGTGGTGGATGGGGAGAGACTGGACAAGGGGCATAAAGAATAATTATGATTCATAACAATATATATGCTAGTAATATTGATTTGATCAACATATCTCAATATTGAACCCCAAAAATATGTATAATCAATTTTGATTCAATAAATAAAATAAATTAAAAATAAATAAATAAATCTTAAATCATACTACATCCAAAAATTAACTACAATGGATTAAATACCTAAATGTAACATACACACACACAAAAAGTGAAGTTATTAATAATAACAACTAATGACAGTTAACATAAGTTTCTCTGAGCAATTGCTATGTGTCAAGCATTGGTTAAGCACTTCACAAGCATTAAAACTCATTTAATCCTCACAACAAACCCAAGAGGTAGCTATTATTGTCCCCACTGCACAGATGATATAACTGAGGCCCAGAGGCAAAGTGATCTGGCCCCAGTCTGAATGCTCCAGTCACTGGCAGAACTGGATCTGAACCCATGCAGTCTCAACCAGGGCTCACACTCTTATCCCTTCACTTCACTGCCTCTTCAATAACAAAGAAATGGGTTCAAGAAACTTAATTAACTATTCAAATTCAGGCAGCCAATAAGCCACAAGTTGGAATTCAAATTCAGCTCTGACAGAGTCTGTAGTTCCTTTTACTCACTACTAAGAAGTCCATGAGAAGTCACACAGGCAGTCGTGGTAGCCCGCAGCAGGCCCAAAGATGGGCCCGAGGGCTCCTCTCTCTGGGCCGATACAATTCACCAGGGAAGAGAAGTAACATTTAGGGAAAACTAACACAGTGGTTAAAATCAATTTCCTAATCTGAAAGACAAATTTTACATAAATAAAATTAATTATTTGCTAATGTATGTCTCAACATTTCTATACAAAGCAGTATAGGATGAAATGGTCAGTGGCCAACAGGCCACTGGGAAAAAGTGATTCCCCCATAAAAGGGGATGATCCTGAAGGTCTGGTGAAAATACCCATGGACACTGGGGAGAAATCACTATTTCATTAACTGCAGCAGAAAAGGATCCTTTCTCAAACCTATGACTTTAGAACATATCTCCTTGATTTAAACATTACCTGGACTTCCCAACAAACACAAACACCCATAACCAGACCTCTGCTGACATCTTTTTCTAGTATGGGTTTCTCAAGTCATTTCTCACCCCCAAAAAATCACTTCATGCCAAGCTTTTGTATTAAAGTAGTCGTTTTCAGTACAGAAAGTTCTGGACTTCCATATATGATCTAATAGATGCAAAGTGATCATCAGTTGAGTACAGCTAGGTAAAGGTGAAACTGTTCCACAAAAATCCCTTGAATAGACACTTTTTTAAAAATTCCCTTTGCATAAATGCTTGTTCCTGTTTTCTTCAAATTTATATTAGCCATCATTTCACTCTATATAAAGTGGTCCTTTGCTTTATTTAGCAAGACCTTTACAGAACCTTAAATTTCTCACACCAGCACTACCTAAACTACTGTTGAAGCTATTTTTCACATTCTCCAGCACTCACAAACTACAAAACAAACACCACCATGGAGAAAAGAATCAGAGCATAAAGTCTACATACACTCAGTAACAATAACTACACCTAACATTTATACCAGGACCTGCACTCCCATATAGTATCTTATTTATAGTAAGAGAAGTCTAAATAAAAACACTTTATATTACAGAATTAAAATACTGTATTAAATTGTTCCCCTTGATTGTATTAGTCCATTTTTTTCTCTTGCTTATAACAGGATAACTGAAACTGAGTAATTTATAAAGAAACAACTTATTTCTTGCAGTTTTGGAGGCTAGGAAGCCCAAAGTCCAGGGAACACATCTTGTGAGGGCCTTCTTGTGGGTGCTGACTCTCTACATTGAGGTAGGGTGTCACATGGTGAATGGCTGAGCAAGAGAGCTAAACTCCTCGCTGGCTCTACTTATAAAGTCATCAGAACTACATCCATGACCACCCATTAAGCCATCAATGAATGAATCCATTCACGTGGGCAATCCTCAGAATCCAATCACCTCTCAAAGGCCCCACCTTTCAAATACCATAATAGGATTTCCTATCCTCTTAACACTATTACAATGGAGATCAAGTCTCCAACACATGAACCTTTGGGGGACATATTCAACCCACAGCAGAAAGCTTAGGCAGATTTGAGGACAAAAGCATATTTATCTAACCTGCCTATCCATCAGGCTCAGAAAAACTTCAAACAAGTTGTTCACAAAATGGAGCTAATTTAATGTTCAGATAGACAGTGTTTCCCAGAGTACACAGCAAGTAAAACCCCCATGTGATGACCCAAATGCCACCTAATCCACACCTCCCTGTCATCCACATGCAGAGGCTAGTGCTCATGTGCATGGAGGCAGCCCCCACTGGTGAAATGGGGCACCAGGGAGGCCCTCACCCTGCAAGCATGTCTCCCCCTAAGTCACCAGTGTAACTGGCTATTACATGTGTTCCTGTCTTCTTTTCAGAAGCAATGCTTATAAATGACTGTTAACTTTCGAAAACATTTATTGGTTACCCATTCAATTGATATATATCCTTTTACGAAGTCAGACTATGACTCAAAAAATACAATTCAACTTTCACAGTTAAGATTTACCCTTTGAAAAAGAAAAGAAATGAGTGTAAATTCATCAGAAGCTCAGATTTCTAAAGGGTAACTTCCAAGGAAGTGTGATGGGTACATAATTAATAATAAAATACAAAGAGTTATTACTAGAGCTATGGCCCCAAACCTGCTTAGAGGCCTAGTTTCTGTACCATCTGGACCTATGAAGGTGAAGTGGAAAGAGGTGATATTTAGAGAAATTAAGAAATGTATAATTTATCAGCTTATCTAAAGATTCTGAGTCCTATCCTTAAAGTGATAACTGTCCAGAATGTTACAGTTCTTCACTGCACTTAGTTTTAGTGAATGCCTTCTTCTCTTACTAGGTCATTAAGAAAGAGACACATAAAAATTGCTCTACTACATTAATTCTAGAAATACTGTCAAAAACACAATTCATTATGTTACTCATGGGTGGGTGAGTGGGTGGGTGGGTGTGTGGGTGTGTGGGTGTGGATGTGTGTGTGTGTGTGTGTGTGTGTGTGTGTGTGTGTACGTATTGACATGATAGGTAGATAGGAAGGCAGACAAACACATACTCACCAATATAGCAAACATCTTTTTAAATTAAAAGATAAGAAAAACCACCCTTCCCAACCAGGGAATGGTATATGTCCCCTCTGAGTATGAGAATGGTTAAGGGCAGCTTTAATGAGATCTGAGGGCTTACTTGAGTTCCTCACTTAAGTGATGGACAGCTAACAACCAAAGATGCACTAGATTAGTCATACGACCTGGAGAAATGCTAAAAATACAGTTTCCAGAGCACTGAATTACGATCTCCAGAAATGTAGACTAGGGATCCAGAGATTTTTTAAAACTTTCTCAGCTGTTTCTGACACGGCCTTCTATAGACTGACATTTTAAAACAAAAAACAAACAAAAAAAAACTCTTGTAGCTAGTGTGTGTGTGTGGGGGGGGGGGGGGGGGGGGGGTGCAGCTGGCCAGTAAAGAGATCCAAACCCTTGACCTTGGTGTTTTAATATCACACTCTAACCTACTGAGCAAACTGGCCAGCCCTAGAATGGCATTTGAGAACCACCATACCAGATAACATCTATTGCCCACCATGTTTCAGGATTAAATAGTATAGTAGTTCCCCCTTATCTATGGTTTCGCTTTCTGTGGTCTCAGTTACCCACTGAACAATACAATATTTTGAGAGAGAGACAGACAGAAACCATGTTTACGTAACTTTTATTACAGTATATTGTCATAATTGTTCTATTTTATAATTATTTATGGTTATTAATCTCTTACTGTGCCTGAATTATAAACTAAACTTCATCATAGGTATGAATGTATAGGAAAAAACACAGTATGCATAGGGTTCAGTACTATCTGTGGTTTTGAGCATCCACTGGGGGTCTTATAATGTATCCCCCTCGGATAATTGAGAACGACTGTACAAGAGCCCACCTTCTCTCATCCTCCATTTCCTTACCTGTTAAGCAAAACCACCAGTTAAAATATGCATTTCCTCTTATCTTGTTTTCCCTACTTGACAGTGGGTTCCATGGAGGATTGATATTTGTCTGATCTTTGGATGCTGAATGAGAGAGGGGTCTAAAAAGTCAAGATGTTCAGCAGTAGGTCACAAAATTCTTACTGAAAGGAAGGATGATTCCACCATTTCTCCTCTCAAGATAAAATTCTGAGTTGCAGGCAAAGCACATAGTGACAAAACAGAGGCAGGGGTTTGCCCTCAAGGGCAAAGCCTCCAGAGGAGGATGTGCTGGGCCTCTCTCTTCCCCCATCACCCTCCCTACAGAGTGAATCCACTTGATTGGCGAGTTTGGAAGGAGGTGCTAAGCACACTTAGCTTAGCCCCTTCCTCCTCTTTCTCTAGAATTTGCTTGGCTACCAGCAGAAAGCAGCAGGCATTTTGCTCTGTGAGTCCAGGCCAGTGGGAGAGATCCTTGCAGTGTTGCTAGACTATGTGGATAAATGTCCAGTTCTGAGTGAGCACAGCTAACAGACCTAAAGCCACATTCTCCAATAGCTATAGGAATAATAATCTTTTTTGGTACATATAAAGAATATTTCTATCTTTAAGCATATTAATGCAAATATTTGAAAATATAAGTCTGCTTAAAGCATTAGACATATTTCTATTTATGTCTAAGAATACTCTTGAAATTAATTCTCTTAAATTTTAAAAAATGGTTAAAAAGCTCTTACTAGTTTTCATGACTTCCATCAAACTATCATCAAAACTTAACAGAGAGATTTGGTTTTCTCCTTACTTGTCATTGGACAGATGATAAAAGCGCCTACTCACACATCCAGTACATAGCAGGCTCACAGCATCCAAGTAGGAAAATATCTTCACCAAGATTTCCAGAGGCATTCTGAGAGAGGGGTAAAAAAATCAGAAAAGTGCATCAGTGCTTAATCTATAAATTACCCAGAAAACAACTCGTTGTTACTCTCTAAACAGAAGGCCACAAATAGACCCTTCCTGTAAAGAGACAAACTGTACCCTCATCTTCAATTATTTTCCTGATTGAAGTTTTCTGGTTATTACAACTCTCCTGACACAAACCAATGGAGAGACCCAGGATACAAAGAACTGCCTTCCTCGGTGTTTTTATTACCTCCACATACAATGAACCAACAGACAGGAGTCAGCTGCCTTGCTCATGAAAGTATGATTCTTGGTGAGATAAAAGGAAATAAAAAGGACAGCGAACACATTCTTAGCTATTAATATAAGAAAAAAAAACCCAAAAACACAGAATCCCTTCTCCACCAAAAAAAAGAACGGGAAACATCACTTTGTTTCTTTCCTAACCTATGCCAGGCTCATGCACCCTCCTCCTGAAGGCCCTCACACTTTTGACTGCTTTTCTGGGGTTTCAAGGAGACAGAAAGCTCCATGAAGTTTTCTGAAGTGTCTTTTTCATTTATATGCCTAAATAAATATGACATTGATATATATATGCACTATTCCATCTACTTCTTTGTGTGTGTGTGTGTGTGTGTGTCTGGCCAGTACAGGGATCCGAATCCTTGACCTTGGTGTTACACACTATGCTCTAACCAACTGAGCTAGCCAGCAAGCCCCATTCAATCTATTTATACAATCTTTAAATTCTAAAAAACATGATAAGAATCTGAAAGTGCCTAACAAGCATTACTAGTATTAGTAAGTCACAAATGGGCCTTTATTAACTTTTATGAACCTTTGGCAAAAGGGTAAATGAAAAGGGAGCTATTGTTATGGGGAGAGGAGTCCAGGGACAAACAGCTGGTGGAGAGGGGTAACCCTTTGGCCAATTTAATATGGCCTGCCACACTCTCTACTTGTGATTTTAATAATTTAATTTTTTTTTATTTATGATGAAAATTAGGTTTTTAAATGTTTCATAGGGAAATAATCATTCCCAAAATTCTGAAAATACTGAGAAACTGGATCCTCTGAGAAAAGACAGTAATGCAACACATATTTGATACATGTAGTATGTAAGTGTTCAAAGCTTCTGAGATATTTAACCACTTTCCGAGAGTTTAAACAAGAAGATTCGCTTATGTATAAGTTAAATCCCTCCCCCCAGATGAAATCCCTTACATTAAGGTCAATAAACTAGACGCTTTCAATGAGAAAGGATCTCTAATGCTAGACATAGCAAAGATACAAGAAAACACATTTTTATGACCATTTGGATTATCCACTGCACATAGTTTTTACATTTTCATTTAACTATGTCACAGAAATTCATAGCCATTTTTTTTAAATCAGTGTAATTCAAAAAAACCTTAAGAGTTGACCCTAAAGATAACATTTCAGAAAAGCATCCATCCAACAACTGTAAGGATTATTTAACTGGAGTAAAATCCCATTCAAGGCAGGCATTAGACAGGTTTTTACCTTCCTACCCAGCAGACTAACATAATAAGAGGGGTCCTCTCTGTGTACTTCCTACTTTATAGTTAAAATGGTTAAGATCAAAGACATTCTTAATTATTGTTCATAAAGTTTCCTCTAATCTGGTACAATCAATGTTTATACTTACACTGGGTTAATGTCTGTTAGATTCCAATTATTTAACATCAGGTGGGTTGGAGACAGGGGATGACGGGGAGGGAAACGGGAGGAGGAAGGCAAGAGGCAGGATGATGAAAAAAGTTCAAAATGTCACAGCAAGGAAACTACTTTGTAGACAGGCTCCCCGTGAAAATGCGAGTTAATCTGTGCATGCTTCTTTTGAGTAGCACGGGAACTCACATATGAACATGTTTTCATCCCTATCCCACCCTGTGGGTGCATTACACTATTCCTGTATTCACAATTTACCCCTGCCGACGTCCCAATGGATAACGAGAACTTCCTCCTACCAAACCACCCATGTCTTCTCGAGGACTTCAGCTTTCCCTTCCACCTCACTCTTTCATATCATTCACATCAGCCTCTGAAAACACTCCCCAAAATATCTCATCCTAAAATCATGCTCTTCTCTTGATTCTTCCCACCTCCAATCTCTCTCCAACTAACACTATTTCTATGCTTCTCTCACTGCCAAACTTCTAGCAAAGAACAAAAGAAAACAAAAAACATGTCTACACCTGCTGCCTCCACTTCTATGCCTCCTACTTTCTTTTTGTTTTTTTAAATTTCAGTGTAAAATACAGAAAAATATAAAAATAGGTGTCCAGCCCAATCCCTTCCACCTACCTGGAACAACTTCCCTGGGACCTCCACCCACCTGCCCTCCCTGGGCAGGACTAACTGGCCTCTCCTGTTGTTGCAGCCACTCTCCTGGATTCCTCAGCCCTCACAGGTCTTCCCTGGCTCCCTGGTTGGTTCTCGAGGTCCCAGTTCCCTTGAGCCTGCCCCTGAGCCACCACCGCTTTTTTCCCTTCTGCAGTCTCTCCCTGAGACACCCCATCCACCTCCATGACTGCTCATCTCCCAGATCTCGCCCTGCGCAGACTCCCCGATACACTGTCCATCTGGCATCACCTTTCCATGTGCCCAAAGTCATCATCATGACTCTCTCTTCTGCCCCTTCTCCAATTCTTTCCCATCCCACCAGCAGCACCTCCATGTACACATCACTCAAGGCAATGGTTTCAGATTCCTACTTGATGTGTTTTCCTCTCATACCTACATCTAATACAAAAATAAGTGACATCAACTACCAAATAGATCTCAAATTTTCCCATGTCTCTCCATCTCCCCTCCTCCTAGAGAAGGACAAGTAAACAAGTAAACGAGATAACTCTAGTAATCAAGTGACATCACTCCGTACTGCAAATAAAGCCCAAACTCCTCCCTGTGGCCTAGGACCTCACACACATGTAAGCACTCGGAACTCCCCAGCTCTGGTCTCCCCCCTCACTCTTCTCCAAGCTCTTCAGTCTCAGTTTTCAGTTCTCATCTTAAATGTTGCCTCCACAGAAAAGTCTGCTCAGCGTCTCACCCCATTGAATTATGGAATCCATTTGTTTTCTCAACAGCATGTAGCCCAATTTATAATGACTGACTATTCTTTCATCTGTCTCCCCAATGAGACCACCAATTTCATGAGGTCATATGTGAATGGCTCATCAGTTGTGTCCCAGCACCAAGCACAGCATCTGGTACACAGTAGGTCCTCAAATACTTAATAGACAGATTAACTGAATTAATAAATATTTGCTCTATTTCTCATATCAGATTGTAGTATGACAGATTCTATTCCCAGAGTATGGGGTTTTAAGTTTAAACTGATGTCCTTAATTAAATCACTTTTTTGGCTTTTCTTTTTAAAAACACACTAAAATATGTACATAAAAAACTTGTACTCTGTTAGCTAATCTAATCATGATATAATATTAAAAGCCCTGAACTTTGAAATCATGCAACTTATGTTTGAATAGTTTTGCAATACATATACTATGTGGACCTTTCCTCCTCTAATATAAATGTCTCTCTATAAAAAAACCAAGCTTTCAGGGTTCTACACAAGGCTTAGAATATAGTTGGTGTTCCATAGATGTTACTACAGTATGAATCTACAGGCATATAAGCATCAATTTCAACTAACTATTTTTAAAAAATTGTTGAAAGAATTCTATGGATCTCTGTGCTAAGGGTCACACAGAATCTTGCCATGGCAAAACAGGTTCCTAAAACACAGAAAGCTAATTCAGAGAGCTCTTGAGCTTTTAGGAGAACACACTTTAATCTCCTTTCTCCTTTTTCAAGGGTCTTTAACTGGAAAGTGAAGAATGTTTTAACAAATGGAAAACTCAATTTACCTCTCGCTTTTAAAAGTTTAGTTTCATAAGACTAGTCTAATAAGGATAATGGTGACAGGCTCATGACTCATATCAAACTATCTGTGTTGTACATTGTTCCCACACAATCCTATTCTTAGAGATCTCAAAATAGCAACTTGGTATATACAGCATTACAACTGTCTCCAATAACTCCACGCCTAGAACCCCCTCACAAAGTGACAGACTACTTCTGCTACTTACCCATCCAGGGATACAGAACATTTAGAGGAGGATTTCTCACAGCGCTGTTCACATCTGGCATATTGCCTCTGAGCAGTACAGCCAGCCACAAATTGGACACCTGGCCCCTTTCTGAAAGTAAATGTGGTAAATTCAAATTATATAATTACCAAATGAGGTTCCCCTCTACAAAATTTTAAAGGATTCATAAACTCCGAAGATTACTGACTGTGAAACTTCATCTCTGCAAAGAAAGGAAGGGAAAGAGGGAGGAGGAGAGAGGGAGGGGGAGGAAGGGGGAAGGAGGAGGAGGGAGGAAGGAGGGGGTGGGGAGGGAGAGGGGGAGAGAGAGGGAGAGAGAAAAAAAGAAGTGGGGGGGGGAGAAAAGGAAGGGAAAGTAGATGGGACTGTGAAACATCTAGTGCCCTGGGTAAGTACACCTGAAGACTAGATTTATTCTGATGTCTTTTCAACCTTTTTATGCTCTCATTATAGGATGCCTGCATGTCAAAGAGTTGCTATAAAACGTATTTAATGGAAACAAAAAGGATAAAGATAAAGTATATCAACTGGTCAGTTTCTATAACACGACAAAAACAAAGATAGCATCAATCAATTCTTTAAAACTTCAGATTTGTGACCTAGAAGTCAACACAATCTACAACTTCACTGATTTTGAGGGATAATCACTGGTTCCAACTTTAGTTTTGGCAATCCTATAGCCATAGAAGTACCAAATACTCATCCATAAATTTTTTCACATTTTAACATCTCACAGTCAAAATATTTTAATTGACCGTCTTTTATTTTAGTGTTACATAAAATAATAATTTATCTTACAATCAATGGCTTTTTAGATTCAATAAAACAGAGTATAATATTTCATGCAGTTAGTCCTTATCAGAGGTTCCTAAAATAAATTTTTGTTAAGATCGGTCTTCAACAGCAGTGCTCAATAGCATCTCAGAGGGGATCTGAAACACCCAGAAAGTCATATAAACCACAGCCTACAATTTCTAGGCAGCAGCCCATCAAAAGAGCTCCTCTGAACATGCTACTTCTGGAAAGTTTTAGGAGCTGCTTCTTCAAGCAATGTACAACATGCACATTATTGGTTATTGACCCATCTCCCATCCAGCATGCTGTTCAAGGAGCAACTATATTATCCATATGCTAAGTTCACCAACAACATTGTTTCAGATATGTACTTCGTTCACTGAGAGTTTAACCACCCTTGGTTTCTCATATCAGGTTGATTCCTCAGATATATCTGGATCTAGACTAACACTCGAAAAGGATGTGGGCAATAATTGGGGGCAAAAATGAGGTGTCCGAAGAACTTGGAAGGATAATTAACCCTCTAGAAGCTGAAGTACAAAATCCACAAAGAACAGATCTCAAAAAGGATGGCCCTCTACTCTGGGCACAACCTGCTAGTAGGAAGCATAGCAGTGAAAGAAGAGGCCCTCCCCGAAGCCCTCAGCTGACCAGGTGACAGCGTAGCTTGACACCTACTGCAGAGATGATACAAGATACACATATGTGCCAGTAAGCACTCAAATCACCCATAGAACCTATCTGCCATGCGCAGCACAAACAAGTCCCCATAATCTTCTGAGCAGCTGAAGAACCAATTTCTCCCACCTTGGAAGATTTTTCTCTTTAGAAACAAGCATAATGGCTGGTACATGGTAAGCCTCCATAAATATCAGCTACTGACTACACAATGGCATCCCAACACGGAAGAGAGACTGAATAAAGCAAACTTTCTGAGATCCTGGAGGGTAACAAAAGCACTGAGGTTAAAAAAAAAAAAAAAAATGCTGGCTACACATGCCTCTCCATTCCTGCTTCAGCAAAAGGCATTCACTGTGACTTTTGTCTTATCTACTTTTCTAGCCAATGTTTTCAAGTTAGGCCAGTCCTGTGGTTTTCCACTTGTGCTCCGCAGAGCAGGAAGGAAAGGTGGAGAGAGAACAAGGAGAGATGCTAGTTTGGAAAGTTTTGCAATGCCCTCTCCCCACTTTGCCCCTTAATCAGAGAATTCTACCCATTATATATTTTTGTACTTGGTGACAATTTTGTTTAAACAAAATTTCCACAGCAGAAAGTTCTGACTCCATTGACCTAACACAGTAATCAGAAGTAAAACACAATTTCCTAATTATATTAGTTTCCTAGGGCTACCTTATCACAGTACCACAAACCAGGTAATTTATTGTCTCACATCCTACAGGCAAGAAGTTCAAACTCAAGGTGTCAGTCAGCAGGCCCGCGCTCCCTCTGGAGGCACCAGGGAAGAGCCTTTCTTTGTTTCGGTGGCTGCTGGCAGTCTTTGGTGTTCTTCAGCTATGGTGGTATCACTTCAATATCTGCCTCCACCTTCCCTCTGTGCTTGTTCACCTGTGTCTCTTCCTATAAGGACATCATTCATATTGTATTTAGGACCCACCCTAATCCGGTATGACTTCAACTTAACTAATTACATCTGCAAAGACCTTATATGCAAATAAAGGCCTGAGGTTCCTGGTAGACATCAATTTGGGGTGGGAAGGGGCGCACTCTAGTCAACACAGTAAGCAAACCTTATTTATAAAGAATACATTCTAAAATTATATGAAGCATTATTTTACAATGGTTAATTACTCTTATAAAGTCTATATTGACCTATATTACATATTCGAAGATAAAACATCTTCAATTGACAAAGGTTTATTATTTTTTTTTCCCTCTGACTGGTAAGGGGATTGCAACCCTTGGCACAGTGTTGTCTGCACCATGCTCAGCCAGCGAGTGCACCGACCATCCCTATACAGGATCCGAACCCGCGGCCTCGACGCTACAAGCACCACACTCTCCTGAGTGAGCCACGGGTCCGGCCCTGACAAAGGTTTCTGAACACTTAAACTCTAAGTAAAAAGAACTTCTATTATTCTTCCATCAAATAATAACAATTTCTATCAGGAGTTCCCATCCTGTGACCCTCAGACCCATGGGAGTGTGAGGGATTGTACCAAAAAGCCTGTGAGTTCATATACACCCTAGATATTACATGAAGACTAAGTAATATCTCTCACTTAAATATACTATTTTTTTTAATATAAAGAAATATTGTTGTGGTTAATCAAATGTAAATTTATTTAAGAGTATTACAAAATTGTTAACAGCTTTTTGTCATTACATATTTCCTCAATAAAATGATGCCAGAAAAATAAAAGCTATTACCCTAGACCTTTCCAAGAGAACCAAAGAAAAGCAAATTAATACAATGCATCAATTTTAATCTAGAAAATTGGCAAAGACCAAATAAATGATAAGGGCTCATGTTGGCTATGTTACAGAGAAACAGGTATTTTAATTCACTGCTGGTAGAATAAGAGAAAGTGGTACAAGCTTCATGGAAAGTCAAATCTGGTGGTATGAACCAAGATCCTTGCAAGGCACATAAATTTTTTAAGCCAGAAATTCCACCTCTAGTAACATACTCTACAGGAAGAAAATGTGTCCAGGTAGTACACTCAAGTAATCCTGTAATCATCTCAAAGTTGTCTGCACTGAGAAAAAAATACTAGAAAAATTATAGGGATGGGTTAATCTGTACGGCCTCCATATACTTAACAATGTTCTGTCAAAAATACAGATTCATCACAGGTGAAAGTGTCTGAAACAGAAATAGGTCCATGCTGTCTTCCAGGTGTCTGCATGGCATGATCCCTCACCTCTTTCAGGCATTTATTCAAATGTCACCGTCCCACTGAGACCTTCCTTGACCATGCTATCTGAAACTGCAATCCAAACCCTACACATACACATTTTATGCCCTTTCCATATTTTTTCTCCTTGGCACATATCACCCTCCAACACTGTACACTTTACTATCTGTCTTGTTTACTATTGTTGGAATGTAAACTCCACATGTGCAAGTACACTGCATAAGTTTTGGTCACATATGCAGGTACACTGCAAAAGTTTTGATTATTCAGCACCCACAACATGCCTGGCATACAAACAGCATTCAATAAATACCTGCTAAATTAATAACATTTTCCCCAAAAACCTTTGTGTTAATTTTACACACCAGGAAGATGCCCTGTGTATCCCCTGTCCACTAGCACCTACCCATTTGAGAAGCACAGTCCAGGATGTTCAAATGTTTCAAACCTACTGGTTCAGTCCATCAACAAGTTCTTACTGAGAAGATTAACTTACTTATCCAGAACTTATGAAAGACTACTGTGAAAACTCTCATGAAGTAAATAAAATCACCTGTTTCACAAATACATGCACATAAAAAATACATAAAATATGATTTTACTTACAATTTTGGATTCCTCAAAATCATGCTATAACTCTCCCACTCAAAGACAGTTTTAAATTAATCAAGCAAGTAAATCCTGTTTGGTTCTAGTTTTTGTTTGTTTGTTTAAAGTACCAAAGTCTTTTCCCTAATCTGAATCCCAAATCCAATAGCAAATGAATATGCCCATCTTTGACTAAAACATTTAACAGTTATTTATTCAATTCTGCAAATACTTCTTAATCACATACTCTAAACAGGGTAATATGCTAAATGCTTTAAAACTTATTTCATCCGCCTTTAATTGCAATACGAAGGACTTTTTATTACAAACATGCTTTCACACTTTAAAAATGTTACAGCCTACTTTTGCTGTTTTGTTTTTCCACAGTTAAAATAGATCTCATAGAGTCCCTCATTTCACAGATTAGAAGACTAAGGCTCTAACGAGTCAATAAAGGGAACATGTTTAAGGTCCCAAGCCAGAGGCAGAAAACCCCAAAGACCTCATCTCCTGTCTTTTCAGAGCTCTTTTTACCAAATCTTAGATAGGATTAAACATCTTAATATAACTTTTGGGACTATTGAAAGCACATCCCCATTTCTACATAAAATAAACCAAATGCACATTTCTAAGGGCCACACAATTAACTAATCAATAAGTTCCATGCATGCCCTCATGCAGATCTATGTCTACAAGGTTAAGTGTACGCATATACTGATATACTTAGTAAAAAAACATTTAGTTTAAAAAAAATTTTTTAAGTAACAGATTTTTGTCTGATAACTTTAAATAAGATCAATATTTTACTGAGGGTTGCGATCCGTTGCCGGACACGGAAAAAACAGACAAAAGACAAAAAAAAAAAATAAAAAAATAAAATAAAATAAAATAAAATGTATGTCCCTGATTTTTAATATATAGTAAATCAAGCCAGTTACAAATTAAGCCAACTTGATATGCTTTCTGCCATATTTCTTAGTTTGTGCTACTTACATATTCACATTTTGTGTTAAAAAGGGAACCACTGATTACTTATTAACATCTAATTTTCCACAATGAGACATTAAAAATAACCACCTGCTTAGACCATAGCCAATCATTGTGTTCCTAGCAGCTGACTTTTCTTTACCAAAAAGAATGTATATATCTCCAGATTACAGGTTGAAATGCAGGTTCCTATGGCAGGTATAGTGACAGGAACTCTATATCGTTCCACCAGGAAGTTCACTCAATTTACGAAAGAATAAAAGATTCATCACATAAAATCATTCTGCTTCCCCCCAACAGAACACTATATAAAGACTAATAACAGTGGCATAGTGGCAAATTGATTACAAGTTCAAGTTTCCTATTTAAATTCAGTCTTACGTAATAGAATTTTTGCAGGCACTGTCACAAGGCCTGTGGTATGTCTAGGATTACAGCTTTTCAATTAAGAACTGTCACGACACTGAGGAACAGGGCTGTGCTTCTGAAATCGAGGTTATGGAGACATGAGACATAGTCCTGGAGATTCAGCGAAAAAACAACAAAACTACAAAACTTAATTAAACTAGTAATAGAACCCCTTTTTATGCTCAAACATACACATTTGGTTTATTAAAAGGCAAAATATGCAAGACTTCTTACAGCTACAAGCCAAGGAGCCTTAGAAGCAAAAAGATAAGCCTTAAGAATGTAAACTGTTCTTGGCATTATCTCTCCACCTTGTAAACTTACTGGGGTGATGGATACAGGTCTAGGGACAACATACGATAAAATGAGAGGAATTTTATAAGGAACCATTATAGCACGTTGACAGTGACATACCGGATCATTTTACTCCTTCCGAAAGCAGATGCAGCCTCCTGCTGCATGCCCCTTTCCTATCTCACTCCTCAAAGTTGCCTTCTCTCTCACTGTAGCAGAGAAGCACCTTCAGTTCCAGGGAACGCCAAGAAAAATGGAAGAGACGCGCCTCTAGGCACCAGGACAAGAATACAACAGGCCCCTACACCTAGCTAGGGAAACCGGCAGAATAGGATTAAGAGTTGAGCATCAAGGCGTGGCTGTCTAGAAAGTAACTTGGCCCTGACATCAGACTGCAGAAAGTGCTGCCCAGGAAAAGAAACCCCCAGACCAACCCGCCCGACAAGAGTTATCTGCTGAGAGGTGGTGTGTGCTCCATTCAGGAGACATGGGCGGGAGAGACAATCGATGGGATTTTGATGCGTAGATTCCACTTCTCTAAGTTATAAGGTCATAAAAAAGACGAAAGGTGATTCCCAGTTCCGGAGGAACAAAAATACTAACACTGGAGCAAAGCACAAGTGAACTTCGGGCACGCGTCCTGGAGGAGCAGGACTGCAGGCGGGGACTTTCAGCAGGCGGGGACCTTCAGCAGGCGGGGACTTTCAGCAGGCGGGGACTTTCAGCAGGCGGAGACTGGCGGTCTGCACCTGTCCTCGCGCCTGCAGCGCATCCCTCTGCCCGCAGGCTCCCTGCCAGACAGACACGGGGAAGCACAGAGGGGCTTGCCACGCTCCCGCAGTGCCTACTATCCGGACGTACGAAAGGATAATGTCCTCGGGAAGCTACGCTATTTGTGTCTTAACTGGGGTATCCCACATTTCCAGGTTGAATGGATTTCTTTCAGCTGCTCTTCCAAATCTTTCCCCCATTAAAATGAGCCATGGACCAGAGCAGAATGAAAATACACTGGAAAGAATGGCGGTGGGAGGGTGGGGGCAAAGAGGAGTTTCCCCCACCGGACGGACCCCAGCCGCGGCCCCCGACTGTCACCTGAACCCGGAGGTCCCAGCGGGCCCCACGGCCTCCGCGACACTCCCCGACGCCGCGCCACGGAGGGTCCGCTGCACCGCCTGGAGACCGAGCCAGCGCTGCTTCAGGAACCGACCACGTCCGGTCGCCATAGATACCCCTCAGGGACCGCCCGGGGGCAGACCGGGGAAGGGAGGAGCTCACCGGCCCCAGCGACGGTTGAAATGAGGCGCGCTACGCCCCCGCGACGGTTGAACTGAGGCGCGCCACGTCCCCGTGCGCGTGCGCAGATGTGCAGACGGCCTAGTACCCGCGCGAGCTCGCAGGCAAACCCGGAGACTCGGCAGGCATTAACGCCGCCTCACAGAGCGGTGTTCTAGAAACCTCTGGGGCTCGGCTTCTTTCCGATGCCGTGACGTTATGACACAGAGGGCGCCAGGCGGCACGCCCGCCGCTCGGAGTTTAAGGCATCCTCGCCTGCTTGTGGCGGCGTCATTCAACTCCACTTGCTGGCCGTTTACTGTTTGGTTTTTCTGGAGATGGAACTAAAACGCAAAAACTAAATTATTTATCGATGAGGAACGGCAAAGCCATAATCAGATGGGGAATTTCCCAGCTTACGCAATCCTCTCTAGAAGGGTCACGAGAACAAGCAGTTTGTAATCGCTAATTTGACTTCTGCAAGTCCCACTTCTAGTACGCAGGAACTGAAGCAGACTTCCCCGCCCCCTCCCCCACGGTCCTGACTAACCGAGGACGTGGGGCGCATGCGCAGGCGGCCCGCGCAAAGGCGTCTGGGAGGTGCAGAAAAGGCAAGCGCCGGCTCTGGCCGCCTTGCCTTGTGGGAGATGTAGTCCCTTGTACCTTCTCCCACTGCGGCAACGCTGTTGAAAGTGAGAGCCTCAAACCCCTGTTCCCAGAATTCCTAGGGGTTCCCAGGTGACCTTGCAAAGGCATGGCGGGCAGAGTGTGAATGTCAGCCTGGAAAGTAATCCTAGCATTTAATTAAAATAAAAAGAGGACAGAAAGGAAAATGGACATCAGTTTCTCTCGGGAGACTTTTCGTTTAGTATACGCTGCTGGAGCTAGCGTTTTTGCCTAACACGCCGTGTAATGCGAGTGTGTAGACTTGAGTACGTGTCTGGCTGGGTGTGTAGTGGATCGTGAAGCTTTGCTAATGGTAGTGAGCATCGTTCCTAAGCGGAACAGTTTTCTATGAACATGATTTGTACTTTTCTACGAGCTGTATGGTATACGGAGAAGCTGCACAGGTCCTCGGGGAAGCGATTGTTTTTGCCACACTTCGTGCTTAAAGCTTGCATGAAGACTGGGCCCGCTTTGGGATGGGAGCTTCGAGAGCCGAAGAAAACGGTGCGACCTAGATGTATCTTTGGGGTCACCCAGAAAACCATCTGGACGCAGGGGCCGAGCCCCCAGAAAGCAGAGGACAGCAGTAAGCAAGTGTCTGTGCACAGAAGTCAGAGCGGGGAAACCGCCATCTCAACGTCACAGAAAGGTAAAAAGGAATACTTTTGTAGTGATCAGTCTTCCAACAAACGTGACAGGAGCTGCCAATGCCCTTTTACACCAGATTCACTAAAAATGGCAAAACAATTCATGCAAATTAAAAAGTAGAACTGTTAAACACAATTCAGGACCGGAGAATAAGACTAAAATTTTCCTCACAAATTTGGACTCAGATTCGAAAGGTGATCCTGAATTTGAAAAAACTTTGTTGCATTATGTCTAGGAAGTTTTTCTCAACTTTTGTTAGTTCTGGTGTATGTAATAGAGAGTAATTGGATACGATAAATAGAAAAAAGAGATTTGTGAGTCATAATAGTGAAAACTATGTAGTTCACCTCAATAAACACGTTTGTTGAGTAACTGCTGTTGTATTCAGATATTGTTAGACTCTATAGATTACATAATTAAAGATGTTGAAAACATTCCTTGCCCTCAGATGTTATGTGCAGTAATAGAACGTATGAAATAGGATGAAATGAAATTTTCTCAGGGAAGTCAGAGATGTTTTCACATGTATTTTAATTTTTTTATGGTATATTTCTTCATGTCACAAAAATAACAGGAGGCAAAGAAAGTGATTCAAACACCCATGATTATATCATGCAAAGACGACTATTAATATTTGGGTTTGTGTCATTTCAATGCATGTACTTTCTAATAATTTTTTACCAAAAAACTTGAATTGTATCTTACTAATTGTTTTGTAGTCTGCTGAATATGTCAAAAATATAATCTAGGGTTTCATTCATAACAGCAGTTCAGCATGAAGGACAGGCCTTATTCAGAGGTGAAAGACATGGAAGTGTCAAACAGCATGTATGTCAGGTCATCTAGCTCAAGCAGTAGTGCTGCTTGCACTGCAGGCTGGCCCTGCTGCAGAGCCCTTCCCTAACCTGGACCTCTTTCACAGGTGATAGCCGTCCTTGTTACTCAGTGAGTGCAGTATTCCCAAATGTGGAATATGCTGCCTCTAGAATCCAAAGGCTTATCAAGCATTGTGGTAGGTAGAAGATGCAATAATTTATTTCTTGGGATAGGATGTCCTGATGTGCTCCAGTGTACCACTATGAGTTTCACTGATGTGGTTGGCAAGCCTCTGAATCTCTGTTGGGCCCATCACTCACACTTGGAGCACACATCTTATGAAACCTTCTAATACACTTGCCACTTGTTACTTATTAGCTCTAACATGATGGCATAGATATAGTAGACAAGTGTGATATTCTACTGAATGTCACAGCATTGTCCAAATAAAACTTTCTGCAATGATGGAAATGTTCTATATCTGTACATTCCGATATGGTAGCCACTAGCCACATGTGGCTACTGAGCACTTGAAATGTTGCTGGTGTGACTCAGGAACTGAATTTGTTCAATTTTAACTAACTAAAATAGCCATGTGATGGAGTTTGGATGTGATGTCCCCTCCAAAACTCATGTGGAAATTTGATCTCCAATGTGGCAGTGTTGGAAACTGATTGAGTCATGGGGGTGGATCCCTCATGAATGGATTAATGCTCTCCATGGGGGAAGGGAGATTAATGAGTGAGTTCTCGCTCAATTAGTTCCCGCGAGAGCTCGTTGCTTACAAAGACCCTAGAACCTTCTCTCTCTCTCTTGCTTCCTCTCGCCATGTGATCTGCTTGTACCCACCGGCTGTCTGCCACTTTCCGCCATGAGTAGAAGCAGCCTGAGGCCCGTGCTAGATGCAGCTGTCCCAGAATCGTAAGCCAAATAAACCTCTTTTCCTTATAAATTACCCAGTCTCGGGTATTCTGTTATAGCAACACAAAACGGATTAAAACACCATGAATGACTAGTGGCTACTATATTGGACAGCCCAGATCCAGAAGGTTCTGGACCCTTGAGACTATGACAGATCGTGGGAGAATTAGCAAATCCTGGCATGACCATAAATGTAACTATTATCTGTTTCATGTTACTACATACTACTGCTGCTGCTTCTCAGTAGAGATGGAAAAGAAGGCATTCTTCAGATCATTAGGCTGTGCTATTGTGTTCCCATAAAGTTACCGCATCTAGCATTGCATCTGTATTGGGGCTACTACTTGGTTGAGTTTGCAGTGAACTGCTATCATTCTCTAGCCTCTCTCTGGTTTTTGTAAGGCAAAGCCTGGTGAATTAACATGGGAATATGATGGGAACCACTGCCCCTGTATCTTTAGGTCTTCAAGAATAGCACTTTTTCTGCCATTCCCCCTTAGATGTGATCCTGTTTTTGATTTACTATCTTGGTCAGTTGGGACAATTTCAGAGGTTCCCATTCAACTTTTTCCTCTGTGATAGCTCTTAACCCACCTCCAAAGGAGCTAAAGTAGGGGTGGTTGTTGCCCATGACTTACTGTATTCATTACGATTACACATTTGGAAATCAGGGGAATGACTACCAGATAAGTCCCTGGCACAGAAGTCAGAGTGGGAAAACCTTCTTACAAGCTACACTGTTTATTACATGGCCCCCTACGCACCTAGCAGGGGAAGGGGCGGGGCGGGGCGGGGCTTCATGCGGAGAACACGCACAATGACTCTTCAGATCTTTGGGTATCATTGTCAGCACAGACTCTGTGTCCAGGTTGATAGCTACAAGTCCCTTGGTAAAGTACCAGGGAAATCATACATTTATTCAGGTCCCACACGAGAGACCTTCAGTAAATGGGTTCCAGGTATGAAAACTGGCTCAGGTGCAGAAACTGGGGTAGTGATCATGACTTTGCTTTAGAGTGGCTGTCTTCAGCCTCCTGATCATCGTAATTAATTCCTCATGATATATATAACTGAGCAATATGCTTGTCAGCTGCCCATCAGTCTTACCCTTGAGAACACTGCATTCTAGTAATCATCTCTGTTGCTCTCTGCAGGTCGTTCTTTCATCCCCATGGCTGTCAGGGAATTCTGCTCTGTAACAGTGTTCCTGTGACTTCTTTACAGCTCTGGTAAACAGTGTCCTTCATGCTCTCCTAGGGAACATAGTCAGCTGGTGGGTTTTCAGGCTCTGAGCCTGTTGAGCATTTTCTCCACAGTTTGCCACGTCTGTTCTGGCATTTTTTCTCCCCTTAATGTGGACCAGTCACTGTCTCCATGTTTCCAGGAGCAAACCTAGTTGTGTATCAGTCCTCAGGTGCTCACCTGATTGTTGAATTCTTCATCACAGGACAGTGCTCTGAGCCGGTTTTGTGTTCTTTGCTCCTTGTTATACCACCCTTAAACATACAGCTGTATGAGTTCTCCCAGCTCACATGTGACTTACGTTGTAACTTGGCCAGGAGGGGAAGTGGAAGAACCTCCTGAGGGGGGCACGTGCCTTGCTAGGCAGAAACACCACCCGCCCCTCATCTTCAAGAAGGAGGAAGTGCTAACCTTTAACAGGGAGAAATGAGCCAACTCTGAAAGGGTCAAGAAGAGAAAGGTAGGGAGTGAGCAGCTTCCACTGGAGACAGCTATAAAGTAACACTTGAACAGAAGTTTTTAAAATGTATGGAATATGGATAATATTCAGCTTTACACATAGTAGATACACAGTAGCTGTTTGTGATTGAATAGAGAAGACCATCTGTCATGTACACAAAGCAAGGTAAGAATGAGTCTGTTGGGAGGGCCAACCAGGAGTCCAGGTGCTGGGGCCAATGACTGAATTTGGATAATAGGAACAAACATGGCTACTTATTAGTACAGTTGTTACTGTATTCTCAACTCGGGGCTTCATACATAGCTGGCTGGTTAACATTTATTGATGGTTATTCCGTGACATTAATAGAGAATAGAATGAGATGTTCTCATTGTAGGCCTCTCAACTTCTGGACCTTGGTAAGGAGATTGAATTTGTGGTGACAATTATTTGGATCACTCCCATGAATTACATAGATTCTGGCAGATACAATCTTTTTATTATTTGAATCACATCTTTTAAGTTAGGAAACTGTACTGAAAACTTGAAGGACTGTGCTATGCTAAAGACTACTTTTAAATAAGTGTTGTTTTATAAAAGTAATAGAAGCTTTTGTACAAAAGGGAAAAGTGGGGGAAACATTACAATAACAACAATCTGTGTTAAAATTCTGTTGTTTTTCTGAAAAAAAAATTGTAAGAGATTTTTATTTAAGAAGTCTGGGTTTCTAATGTGCTGAATAGATTAATCCGTAAATATAATAACATGAGATGATTCACTTTTTTGGCATCAGTGAAAAAGTGTCATTGTGATTGTACTGTTATACAGCTCTTTGCATGTATGTGAAAATAGGTGTATATGAGTGTGTGTGTTTATGTATGGCTATACATACATATATATTCTGTCCCATAACAATGCCTTGATTGGATTTAATTCTCAGAACTTCTATTTAATCAGTACGTGCATCTTAAATTAGATTGAAAAAAATAAGTAGTACACTGTCTGTGTTGATTCTTCATTTTTTAAGTTTGTTCAATTCATAAATCTTTCTGGCCAACCAAATTCCTGTGCTGAATTCAACTGTCTTTATTTTATGCACCAGTTGGTGGAGGGTAGGGAATGGCATTTGGGAACATTACTGTTAAGAGTTGATGACCATTTTGGTCTCTTGTCCCTTTGGTTGACAAAGCAAACGCTTTTCTTAATCTGTGAATGGCAGATTTGTGTCCAGAGTTGCCTAATTTGTGACAGGTGTTTCCAGTCTGAGGGACTGGATCACTTGTTAAAAGGAACTCTTCATCCTATAAGTCAGTATTGAAATTATAATATTAAATATAATAAAAGTATAGATTCCTAGGCCCTGTTCCAAGAATTCTGAGGTTCTGATGCACAGGGATTTGAGAACAACTGCTGCAGAAGACACATGGACCCCACGGGCTTTGATCCTGAGTTTGTGTTTCACCTGCTAGAAACATGGAGCAGCGAACACGCCTGCTTGTAGCTAGCACATGTGTAACGCATTGCTGTTTTCTCTTTACAGTGAAAGAGGCTGGAAGAGATTTTACCTACTTAATAGTGGTGCTTATGGGAATCAGCATTACAGGTTGCAAAAAACAGCAAGTATAACACCCCTAAATATCCTTTTAATTTACCTTTTTGTCTTGGTCTTGCTTTCCTTCATCTTCTTTTTTCTGTGATTTTCAGGTGGCTTGTTTTACACGATTTTCAAAGAACTCTTTTCTTCATCCAGTCCTAGTAAGATATATGGGAAAGCCTTAGAAAAATGCAGATCACATCCTGAGGTTAGTTCTCAAGCTTGACTTACATGGACTCTGATGCTAAAGAGAAATGTTGAGGAGAAGGCAGCGGGAGAAATTCAAGTAACAGTTTTGAAACTAGTGAAATTCATATAATGGTACACAGTGGTTGGATTGTGATTATGTTATTAGGTCTTTGTTCTGTGCTTGAAACACTTTGATTAAGAGCACCCAAAGGTCATTGTATGGATGTTTTCACCCTAATTGTACAAGAGAGTCATTTTATTAGTTGTTCATAGATATTAAATGCTTAGAATACACCAAAGTATCAAACTCATGGGATAAATTTCTAGTCTTTTAAAAACAGCCAGATTCTTGGCCTCATAATCATAGTGTAATTGTCGACAGTAGCTGAATGTATTACGTGCCATGCATATGCTTAGTGTCTCAGTGAACCATCTTTATTAAGTCTCACAGAAACCGTTTGCATTGGGTACTACTTTCATCTCCAGTTTGCAGAAGGGGAAACTGATACAGAGTTTAAGTAGCTCCATCACGAACACTGTGGGAGAGCAGAACCTGAATCTAGGTTTGTCTGATTCCAAAACTTACGCTTTTAGCCTCAGCCATTCCCTGGGAGGAACAGACATATAGAAAAGCTGCCTCAATTCTTTGAAGAACTCTGTGCAGAAGGAAGGCTTTAGATAGCACAGGGTAGCCTGTAAGATGCCAGGTTTCTTACTCCCTGAGCAGAAGTACTCACTGAAATCCTAACTATCTCACCTTGAAAGATAATGGCAGATAGCATCATAAATATCACAGCCCAAGCAGGAATGTCAGGGAGACCTAGACTTTTAATCCCTAGCAAGGGGAAAGGGACATAATCCGTGGATGGCTCAGCATATACGCTCTGCGCTGGTGTTCCTTGGGGCACTGGCTCTGAATGCTCCATCCATTGAAGCTCATGGTCTCTGGCATCTTCTTAAATCCACTGATTTCTCTAGTTGGACCCCTGGCAGTCTGTGGGAACTGTGGAGGTGGAGGCACAGTGGGAGAAGTATTCCTGAGTGAGTTAAAAATCAGCAGGGAATACAGAAGGTTCCCATTGTAGCTATTGGGAGTCCAAATTATGTCTGAGAGACACTCTTTACTGACTACAAAAATAAACATGGGTGATAACCTCAGTAAATGTTAGGACAAATCTCTGTGAGGAAAGATGTGAAGAGCTGCTGTGTTATTCACAAGCTTAGCCTTTCATAGAATTTTCAGCATTTTGAACAAAACAAAACTCCACACAATAAACACAAAGAGTGAGATATCATTAAAGTCATAATTTGCTGCCTAAGAGCTCGATAAATAATAAACTTTAACATTTTTGTCAACATTTTTTAAGGGCCTTCTTTTTGCAGAGCACCATGCCTGCTTGAAAAATAGAAAATTCAAATGTTCCGATAGTGATGTGTTTATTTAGTAAATTATTTGGACACTTGTTTCATTTGTTTCAGCTACAGAGTTCTTAAATATCTGTTGTATATCCTTCATTTTTATTTATCCTGGCAAATGTCATGCTGAAGATACTCAATGAAGACACAAAATACGAAAAATTTTATAGAGTTGAGGGCCAAATTTTTTAAATTTGACATCAAATTTGTATTTTTTAGGGAGAGTTCTAAAGTATTTGTATTTTAAAGTCAATAAAACTGCATTTCTACTTCATGTAAATTTTCCCATTAGGAAAAATTGATTTACACCTTAAGATCTGGTTTATTTTAAATATTGTCATTATTACTTGTCCTCCCCCCCACACACATGCACACTATGTTTAAAGACTGGAAAAATCATTTTTATCTCATAGAAATGTTCATACATTTTACTTTCAAACCATAAAGGGCTAATAGAGAAATATTTGAACCCTTGTTTTGTTGGGTTTTGTGAGGGGACTGGGAATAGCTGCACTTGGACCTACACTGTTCTGAAACTACAAGTAACATCATAACCTCTCATGTTTTGATCTCTGTGCATGAAACATTTGTTTAAATTATTTACCAATGATTTTTGCATCACCTTTTCTTTTTTCAGTTTTTTCATGATTGTGATCCTCGTTTTTGAAAGGGTTCTAGGCTTACTGTTTTGTTTTGTTTTCCTAAAACAAGTCACTTGGTTTGTCAGAAAGTATTTTCCTACAAAGCTTAGAAAATAACAGTAAATGAAGATTTGTCTTTATTCTGCAGGTGATCGGTGTCTTTGGTGAGCCTGTTAAAGGCTACGGGGAGATGACCAGGCGTGGTCGGAGGCAGCACGTCAGGTACCACAGTTTGCTTGAGTTTGGACAGCTTGGGGGTAATTTTTAAATGAAAGGAACTTAGACTTAAGTTCTGTCATTTTCTTGAGGGGCCGAGCCCCCAGAAAGCAGAGGACAGCAGTAAGCAAGTGTCTGTGCACAGAAGTCAGAACGGGGAAACCGCCATCTCAACGTCACAGAAAGTGAAAGAGGCTGGAAGAGATTTTACCTACTTAATAGTGGTGCTTATGGGAATCAGCATTACAGGTGGCTTGTTTTACACGGTTTTCAAAGAACTCTTTTCTTCATCCAGTCCTAGTAAGATATATGGGAAAGCCTTAGAAAAATGCAGATCACATCCTGAGGTGATCGGTGTCTTTGGTGAGCCTGTTAAAGGTTACGGGGAGATGACCAGGCGTGGTCGGAGGCAGCACGTCAGTTTTATTGAATATGTAAAAGACGGGCTGAAACACACACGTGTAAAATTCTACATCGAGGGCTCCGAGCCAGGGAAGCACGGAACGGTGCACGTGGAGGTGAAAGAGGTGAGCCTCATGGCTGGGGAGCCAAGGGATTCAGGCACAGTGGCATTTAAGCACTACAAAGGAAAATAACCCCTGCAAATACTTTTTTTTCAGAACCCACAAGGTGGTGAATGTGACTTTCGATATATATTCGTAGTATTCTACATCGAGGGCTCCGAGCCAGGGAAGCACGGAACGGTGCACGTGGAGGTGAAAGAGAACCCACAAAGTGGTGAATGTGACTTTCGATATATATTCGTAGATGTTGAATCCTATCCTAGAAGAACTATTGTCATTGAAGATAATCGATTCCAAGATAATTAAGAGAATCAAGCAGGCATGCTGCTACCTGATGGATGTCGAGTGGCCCAGACTCACTGCTCTCATCTTCTCTGCTGTCTTCCAGAATCTTCTCAAAAGAAGACAGGGAAAAGTGTATAGGTTATAGTTAATGTAATAGGATACTTATTGCATTTAGACAAACTAAATTAGAGGTTTTCTTGTGGAAAAAATATGAGATAAAGCATATGTTATGTTATTTCATTGACTTGTTGATCATAATGGTATTTCTGCATTTCTGCTCTACTTAACATCTTTACGATGAGAAATTTTTGTTACTGAAAATTTTACGCCAGGTAAATAAAGAAAAGAGATTTCAGTATTATATGCCTTTTTTATATTGTATGACTGCATAAAGCCTGCAGAATGAAATTAAAAATAACCAAAAGATGTCAGAAGCAGCTTCCCTCCATTTACTGTGGAATCTGACTTGAGAAGAACATGTGAAAATATTTGAGAACTGTGGTAAACCAAATGATAAATACCTTCTTCAAAATTATCACAGAAAGATTGTATACATACATTGTATGATTTTTAGGAATCTATCTCATATTTCCCTCCTCCATTAATTAAGACCATTGTACAAGGGTGCTTCAGAAAGTTCATGGGAAAATAGAATTAAAAAGATAAAACAAATCCTTCCACAAACTTCATTTCAAGCATCCTCATACATACTGGGAAAAGTACCTGCTCCAAAACTGGGTGGACCTGGGCTGTCTACCCAGCAGGTGTGTGGGCCTGTGCAGGTACCTTAGCCTTGTCAAACCTCATTGTTCTGTGGTTTGCTTGGGTGACCAAGTGAGATGACAGGTGCAAGTGCCTGGCCAATAGAAGGCACTCATGAAGTGTCTCCGTCCCCTTCAGAACTCGCACCAACACTTCATGCTGCCAAAAGAAGCATGGAAATAAATGATCGCTTACAATGATCCTGACCACATGTATAAGTGCTATGTGTGCTGGGAGAGGTCTAGAAATATCTTTTTCTGTGGTGGCTTCAATGGGATGGGATTGCCCAGGAGGAGCAGGAAAAGGGAGGGTGGTGGCCAGTTGAGGGCCAACACCAGTCTCACAATCCCCTCATTCTTGTAGTGCTTGACAGAGGCTCTGGAAAGGGTGTTTGTGTTTCTGTTTTAAATTTTTTAATTTGCTTTGTCCTATATTTTTGTTGTGTTGGTAAAGATGAAGGAAATTGGGAAAGGAGGCAATGGAGAAGAGGCTGGAAGACCAGAGAAAAATGATGGAGCGAGGTCCTGGCGGACCTGACTTGGTGGACCTGACTCAGCGGAGCTGGCAGGAGGCAGGAGGCACATAGGAGAAGTTTGTGCATGGCTGACAAATTGGGCATTGTCCCCCACTGATTAGCCTCAGTGTGTCATCAGCTGAGAAACAAGTCAGGGTGGGGTTGGGACTTGAGGGATGTGAAGGCTTGGAAGAGCCCCTGACAGAGAGGAGAGGAAACTGACCTGGGAGCTATGGCCAAGGAGGGACTGGGCGCAGGCGGTGATAATGCTGATCTTCACAGTGCCATCCACTCAGGCAGGGCTCTCAGTGCAGGGCTTAGGAATGAATGAGGCAGGCAGGTAGACTGGCCTGTGGTTAGTTTGCTGGGCTGCTGTAAGAGTTGGCTTGTTTCTTTTGAAGAATGCACACCCTTACAGGAGACCAAGGGAGAAGCATTTGGCCAATCAGCTGTCAGCACTTCCTAGGAAGCTACAGTAATTAGTGCATAGTGCACAGTGATAGACAAACCAACAGAGCAAACAGAGCAAAAGAGAGAGCCGAGAACAGACCGTCACACCATGTGGAAACTGCAGCAGAGGTTCCATTACAGAGCAATGGGAAAGACTTCAGTATTCAACAGAGTGCTGGAACAGTCAGTTATCCATGTGGGAAAATAATGAATTGGATCTCTACCCTACATCACACAAGAATCAATTCCAGGTAGATTAAAACCTTTACAACTTTTAGAAAACTGTACAGGAAAATATCCGTATGACATTTTGAAAAGGATTTCTTTAATAAGACACAAAATTAGAAACCATAAAGAAAAAGATTGATTTTTAAATTAAGAACTAAATCAGAAAAAAAAAGAAAAGAAAAGAAAAGTAAGCTACTAATGAGAAAATTTTAAAGAACATATAGCCAACAAAGAATCACTATTCAGAATATACCAAGGGAAAAAAAACAGGAAGAAGCAGCAAGCTAATGGGCAAAAACCGACAAGCTGTTTCAGCAAAGGAGAAAACACATAGAGCTAATAAACTCCTGCAAATACTTGCAGCCTCTTAGAAAAATGCAGAATAGATTACTAGTTTTCTTCTGCCAGATTGGTAAAAATTTTCATATCAGTAAAGTAAACGGAGCAAAGGGAACTCTCATTGCTTCTGCTGGGATGGGTATTAGTAACCTCCTGGGTAACCAAGTTGGCATTATTAGACCGGCACATTTGACAGAAGATTGATGAAAAAATATCATGCTGTACAGCATCAGCCACCCTGGAACCATGCCAGTCAAGGAGACAACTCTGATATGCCTGCATTTCATGATCCTGTGCAAAGTACAGACTATTGGACAAAAGGAACCACCAGCTGCATTTGCCAGCACAAACCAATTTCATAAATGCTTTGAGCAAAAACAGCAAATGGCAAAATTAATGTGTCTCCTGGCATCATTTATATAAAATTCAAAAACAGTTCAATAAAATATTATTCGAAGATACATACATATGTAGCAAAACTAAAGAAATGCTGGGAAAGATAAACCCACATGTCAGAAGAGTGGTTAGTTGTGGTGGGGAGGGAGGAAAATCAGAGGTGAGTTTCGTGGGGTTTGGTCATGCACAGTTCTTAGGCTGGATGGTGGGTGCCCATTCTATTATTATACTTTACACCTACACGTGGGCAAGTTATCCAGAAGGTGATGAACCAGGTTTCAGCGTCCCTCACATTCACAGATCCCAAAGCCCAGGACTTAATTACATATTCATAATTTTGTATTCCCTTTCTTATAGAAGACTCCAAAAACTGTCCAAGTTTCAGGACCCTCAAAACATGGATCCACACCTGCATACAAATTGTAACTTTTATACCCACCAAATATTTCATAAATTTTAACATGGAAAAATCAGACTGCTTACCCTACCAGGCTTGCGTTCCAGGCTTGAGTTTATTCTTCAGCCTGGTCTCAGCCTTAGATTTTGTCTGCCTTCTTACATCGAATTCTTTAGTCTCTCTGAATTCCATGCATTAATATATAAGTATGAAAATCCGGCTTTCTGTTCTTTTTCTCCACTATAGCATAATTATATACGTTGCTTTCACTGATGTTCTTTCTATATCCTAGATTGTTTCTAATTTTTTTTTTTTTTTTTTGTCTTTTTTTGTGACCAGTAAGGGGATTGCAACCCTTGGTGTGGTGTCCCTGCACCGTGCTCAGCCAGTGAGCGGATTGTTTCTAATTTTACAAGTTTGGCTACACATTTTTCCTCCTCCTTCTTTAGATGGTTCTTAATACACCTCCTGCTCCTGTTCCCACCGCCCCTCCTCTGTGCCAGATGCTCACAGCAGCTGTCAGCCACGAAATTACAGTCACCTCCTAAGTCAGCATCTCTGCCCCTAGTTTATCCCCAACTGTCTATCCTCACTGCACAGGAGTTGCTTTCTAAAACTCAGATCTGATTGTGCTCTGATACTACCCATATCCTTCGGTAATTGCCAGTTGTCCAAAGAAAACTGAAGCTGGTTTGCTAAGCCCTGATTGTGAAGTCAAGCCCCCAGGCTGTGCCTCAGTTTCCACAGCTCCTTTCTACCATAGTCCAACCTCATTGGACAGGCACAAACTGCATAGTCTTCCTCCTTAGTACACTAATTTCAAGAGTCCTGCTGATAGATTGTTATAAGACCATTACATCTATTTAGCTAGTAAGTATTCTCAACTACTTGGAATTTTCTTAATGCTTAACATCAGGCCACTTGCACATTCCAGTCTTACCAAAGCAGTTATGGAAGTGACGGTTTTATCGGGTAAGGTTTCTCCTTCCCTTGGGTGGCTTTTCCAAAGCCTTCTACAGAATTCCATA